TCAGCCATAGTTTGTTGTGATCCATGCAGCCAAATGCCTTTGCATAGGCAATGAAATTCAGATAAAATTCCTCTAATACTTCCTGCATTCAGCCAAAATCCATCTATCATTAGCTATAATATCCGTAGTACCATGGCCTCTTCTAAATCCATTCTACAAATCTGGCTCTGTTGATGTTCCAGTCATTTTTGGATAATCTTCAGCAGAATTTTGCTTGCATGTGATATCAATGATATTGTTTGATAATTTCTGCACTCTGTTGGGTCATCTTACTTTGAAATCTGAACAAATATAGATAGATTTCTTCCAGTCAATTGGCCAGATCATTATCCTCCAGATGTCTTGGCACAACTTGGTGAGCACATTCAGATAAGCATCTGTTCGTTGAAATATTTCAATTAGTATGCCATCAATTCCTGGGGTCTTGTTTTCTGCCAATTCTTTTTGAGCAGTTTGAACATCTTCCTTCTTGCCTATACATTGTTTGATTAAATTCTTCTGTGTCTACCAATTCCTTTTGGTACGATGACTCTGTATACTCTTTCCATCTTCTTTTAATGTTTCCTGGATCATTTAATATTCTGCTCAGAGTATCCTTAATTATAGCAACTGAAGGCCTGAATTTGTTCTTCAGTTCCTTTAGCTTAGGAAACACTGAGCAAGTTCTGCCCTTTAATTCTCTGACTGCAGCTCTTTGCATATTTCAAAGTAATATTTTACTTTGTCTTCCTGCACTACCCTTTGTAATCTTTTGTTCATCTCCTTAATATCTTGATTTCTTCCTATTGCTTTGGATTCTCAGTGCTCCAGTGCAAAAAAGACCAGATGAGTTGTGGGAAGATATCAACAATATCATTGAAGAAGAGTGAAAAAGTTCATTACAAAGACAGAGGAGGAAGAAAAGACCAAGATGGGTGTCAGAAGAGATAATATTGAATAGGAGTGGTGAAAGTGGGCATCCTTGTCTGGTCAGCACTGTTAACAAAGAAAAATGCCCTTGGTCTTTCTGCATCGAGTATGATGTAGACTCTTGATTTTGTATATGTACTTTTCACTATGTTGAGGAAATTAACTTCTATTATTTATGTTTCTACTGTTGTAATGAGGAAGGGATGTTGTAAGGAGGAAGATATTGTCAAATGCCTTATCTGTTTCAGTTGGTAGGATCATATGGTTCTTGGTCTTTGCTTCATTAATGTGATAAATTACATTAATTGCTTTTCATTGTGTCCTTGTTATAAATCACAGTTTGTCATTATCAGTTTTCATTTTTTTAAATGTACTGTTGAATTTTTTTGGTCAGGATTTTGTTAAGATTTTTTTTTAATTTATGTTCACAAGATATGTTGGCCTATATTTTTGGTTATGTTGTAAAGTCTTTGCCTGCTTTTGATAATAGTTATGCTTGCTACATGGGATGACACTGGGACTGTTCCTTATTTTATTTTTTTAAAATAATGAAGTAGAATTGTTGATAGTTCTCCAAATATTTGATAGAATATAGCCATAAAGCCATCTGGGCCAGCACTTTTTTTGGTAGGAAGCCTTTATGACCAATTTCTTCTTCTGTGGTGAGCCTATTCAAGTGTTCTACAACTGTCTGTGTCAATCTGGGTAGAGTGTGAGTTCGTCCATTTTTCTCTAGGTTTTTAGATGTATTAGAGGATGTTGTTATTGTTATTAAGAGCCATCGAATCATAGACGCTCATAGTAACCCTATGAATGAAAGACCTGAACGATTTTATAACTTTCATTGCTTCTCCAAGTTCATAGAGTTTCCCGAAGCAAGCTATTTTGGAAGTAGTTGCCACTCCTGCTTCCAAGCTCGTTTTAATTAGGGAGCTCCACCAAACACTGTCCACCATGAGTAACCATTATCACATTTGATGCATCAGAGTGACAGTGTTCAGCATTACAGCAGCCACAAGTTACCTCCGTAGAGCAAATGGACAGACCAGTGCTATACAAATTAGAAGACCGTTTGACCAAAAGCAAAACCAGGCCTGAGTGGCACAGATTAAAATCACCCACCTTTGACTTGGTAGCATAACTTTCTTATCCACCAGGCCCACAGAGCTCTCTCTATGTTGTTGTTAAGTGCCGTCAAGTTGTAGACGACCCATAGAGACCCTATGAATCAAAGACCTGAACAATTGTATAACTTTCATCATTTCTCCAAGTTCATATGACCCAATTTCTGACTGTGTGGATCATAACAAACTGTGGCTGACTCTGAGAAGAATGGGAGTCCCAGAACATTTAATTGTCTAATACGAAACCTATACTTGGACCAAGAGGCAGTAGTCAGAACAGAGCAGGGTAACACTGCATGGTTCAAAATAGGTAAGGGTGTATGCCAGGGATGCATCCTGTCTCCATACCTTTTCAACATGTATGCAGAGCAGATTATTCGAGAGGCTGGGCTCTATGAGGAGAATTGTGGCATCAGGATTGGTGGAAGATCTATTAACAATCTCCGTTATGCAGATGACACAACCTTGCTTGCTGAAACTGAGGAGGACCTCATGCACTTGCTGCGAAGGGTCAAGGACTGCAGCCTTCAGTATGGACTAAGACTCAACGTCAAGAAGAAAAAGATTCTCGCCACTGGACCAATTGGCAGCGTCAGGATGGATGACGAAGAGATTGAGAGTGTTCACAGCTTCACTTTGCTCGACTCCACAGTCAACACTCTTGGTACCAGCAGTCAGGAAATCAAAAAGCGTATCGCGATGGGAAAGTCTGCTGTTAGGGACCTCTCAAAGGTACTCAGGAGCAACAGTGTCTCTCTGGAGACTAAGGTGCGCCTGATACAGGTCATGGTATTTGCAATCGCTTGTTATGCATCAGAGAGTTGGACAATGACTAGGGAGGACAGAAGGAGAGTGGATGCTTTGGAGCTGTGGTGCTGGAGAAGGGTACTGAATGTACCATGGACTGCCAGGAAAACAAACAGATTCATCTTGGAGAGGATTAAACCAAGCTGCTCCTTGGAGGCAAGGATTCTGGGGCTTCGTCTGACATACTTTGGACATGTTTCCAGGAGGGACGGGTCCTTGGAGAGGGACATCATGCTTGGGAGGGTGGAGGGACAGCGCAGGAGGGGAAGACCCTCTATGAGATGGATTGATTCAGTGACTGGGGTAATCGGGATGGGTGTGTCAGAGGCGGTGCGGTTGGCGCAGGATAGAGCAGGGTTTAGAGCTGTTGTGCATAGGGTCGCTATGAGTCGGAAACGACTCAATGGCACATAACAACAACAGCAACAACAACATTTGCTGGACAGTTTTGCTGGGTAGAGTGTCCTTGGCTGGCAGTTGTTTTGTTTCAACTTTCTAAATATTTCATCCAGTTGTCTCTTCTTGTACACATGGTTTCTGCTGAGAAATCAAAACTTAATCTAATTGATTCTCCTTTGTAGATAACTCTTTTATTTTCTTGTGCTGATTTTAGTATTTTGTTTTTATCTTGCATCTTGTAGAATTTAACTATGTTATGTTTTCCTTTGGGGTCTAGTCTGTTTGAGGTTCACTGAGCTTCTCGAATGTATATTTTCTCATTCTTAGTGATACCAGTGACATTTCTTTCTAGTGCCTCTTTCATAATTTTCTCAGTGTTTTCCCTGTTTCCATCATATTCTGAAATTCTGATCATATGTATGTTGTTCCTTTTGATTTCGTTCCAGATGATTCTCATGTTTTCTTCATTTTCCTTCTGTCTCTGTTGTTTTCTCTCCTAGTATATTCCCTTTGAGATTCTTGTCTTTAAGCTCACTGACTCTTAGTTTTATGACTTCTATTCTGCTTTTTTTGTCCCTCCAGCATGTTGGAAACTTCTACTATTTTAGTCTTGATATTTTGAACTGCAGTTTCATTCATTTCTACTTCCAGTACAGTATTCCTGTATGCTGGAAGTCTTGCTGTTATTTTTTCAAGTTCTTTACCTCTTTCTCTATAGTTTCACTCCTTCCATCTTTTACTACATCTTCTGTAGTTGTTTTTATTCCTCCATATTGATATATGTCTTCTCTCTGTGTGTCTCTGGAGTATTTGCTTTATTTATGACTTCCATTCTTTTTTCCATCATTTGCACCTTCTTGCATAGTTGTTCATATGACTCTGCATCAATATATTTCTTCTGCATCTCTGTTTCTGGGGCATTAATTTGATATGTAATATGTGTTTTTTAGGAGAAGGCTTATTTTGTTTTTTCACAATGTGTAAAGCTTCCTGCTGCTTTCTTGACATTATGTGAAGATTTTCTTGCTGGGTTGTTGACAGTTATTTATCTTTATGTTGTTATGGGTTATTTGCAGAACAAATGTATTCTCTTTATGGAGAAGGACAACTCACTTTACCAAGTCTTTTCTGGTTCTGTGCAATAAGAAAGCTTGCCTTTCCTAAAGTTCTTCCACTTCTCTCTCTAGGGCTGCAGTACAGTCCTGTGTGTATTTTGCCTGAGTGCTGCCTGCCTCTTCTACCTCTTATAATTATCCCTGATGGACCAAAGTGTGGCCTGAGAACCAATTCCCCCTAGCTGCTGCTTTCTCTCTATCTGAGAAGGAAGGGGCAATGAGGGCAGGGCCCTGATCCTTTATGCACCTGCCCTCTCCACTCTCCAGCAGCCTCCTGGAACTCTCTCCTCCCTGAGGCCACCGACTTCTAAAGTGTAATTGCCATTTGTGGTGCTGGTGTGCTTGGCAGCTGGAAACCAACTTCCACCTGGCTGCTGCATTCTATATCCAAGGTGGAGGTGTGTTATTTGTATTTTACATTTCCGATGCCTATGCAGTAGATGTTTTGGTGGAATTGTTGGCATAAAGGTGTCCTTGAAACTGAGAGAGAAGATAAGTTTATGTCCTTTTCTGAAATATCTGAGAAAGAGGAGGTGAGCTGTTGTCTTGGGCTGCTGTGGGAGAAGGTGTCTTGTTCTAGTGCCTTGTTTTGCTACATTGATATCTAAGGCTAAAATTTTGATTGCTCTTTGTTTGCTGACCTCAGGCCTGGGAGAAATCTGTGGGAATCATCTGCTTCCCCAGTATCCAAACACTGGCAGAGGACGTGTCCCAACAACTTGTGCAAGAGATCCAGAAGGCCCTTGCTGGAAAACCTGCAGGTAAGAGCACACAGGTGCTGAGAAGACTTTTTTGGAGGGTAAACAAGTGGTCTCACATAGGGTTGCTATGAGTTGCAAGCGACTCGACAGCACATAACAACCACAACAACAACAAACAAGTGGCCTTGTCAGCTCTAAAGCACTGAACCAATTCTGCCACTGAATGCAACTCAGTTATCATTTTAAGACTGAAGGGAAAGGCTTGCAGAGAAATAGGACTGACTTGTTTGCTCCTGGAAGGGAGATGCTCCACTTTTACTATCTTGTCCCTCCTTTACACACATGTACAGAGACGCAAGGCTAAGGCCAACGTCTTCACCAAGGGGGAAATTGTGGTGTAAGTGTGAGACAGGAGACTGCATGATTATTCACTGGATGGCATGGCCCAGAAAGTTTCTGCTGTGGAGATTTTTTGACTTACACTGTCTACTCTTTGAATAGACCTGTCAGGGCAGGCAGGCTTTCATCATGGCCATGGATTAATAGGAGGGCAGAATTCCAGTATTGATGGATTTCTAGTTAAGCTTAAGCAAGCTTAGAAATTTTGGCAGGTGAGGGGCTACACAACAGGAGGAAGGTAGGAGCAGAAGCCTCTGGATTGTTGGGAATAAAATAGATTGAAGTGCCAGCTCTCAATTATTTGGCAATAGATAACCACTTATAGTTGCTGAACAGAGGAGTGGCATAATAAGGATTACTCTACCAAGAGCTTAATATGACAGACTGTGAAATATTTTCTTTACTATCAGATGGAATTGGAGTTGGTAGACAGGAGGCAAGGATTCCCTAAAGAAATTAAAATGCATCCCAGGTACAGGAACCCTTGGGTAGTTCGAGAACTGAGTGACAGATCCTACAAAACTTGCTGCTAGTTGCACTTTCTTCCCTTCTTGCACTCATGTCAGAACAAGCAAGATCAGTGGCTGAACAGTTGCTACAATGGAAGGGGGATTCAGACCAGGACGGCTATCTGCTCCTCAAGTCAGTGTGTGTGCTCACGGGGACAGACTCGGTAAGTTCACAGATGAGCTGTGAAGGGCAATCTCCCTATAATTGCATATTGAGCTTGGGTAAGAATGGACAAAAACAGGCACATTGTCCCTGTCATTGTAAGGGTTAATGATGGCTTGTGTTTTTTTGACTATTTACTGCAGAAAGAGGGTGACAGGTTGGAGGTTAATACCCAAAATTAACCAACGGGCAATTTGACTACTCTTTGGCTTAAACTGACAGGATACTTGTCATTTACAGTGACTTGATCCACAGGACAAGCCTTCTCTGCTCTGAAGAAAGGGCTATCTTCAGTCTGGGTGGTAGCAGATAAATTTAAAGACTTAATATTTTTTTTAAAAAAGGTAGTGGTAGGAGGAAGCAGCTGGCTGTCAGTAGAACCAGAGCAGCAAGTAGAGGACAAGAGGGTAGCTGTTCTGTGAGAAAGGATGTCATGGAAGAGCTGTCATGGAAGACAGCTTATTATTTTGTAGTAATATAATTTTAGGGAGAAAAAGTGATGTTCATATCTCTGGTCATTTTTTAATTTTCTCATTCACCTGCCATTTCTGTTAATCTAGTCAACCTAGGAAAAATGCTATTGGATTGGTTACACTTTACCAAGTAGATGACAGACTTGAGAGAGTCCTACACTTGCTCACCAATGCATGCACATACAGAGCTGGCGGCCCTCTCTTACCTGGTGAAGCTGTATACAGAACCATGTCAGGGAAGTCCTATTCATCTCTGTCAACTTCTCACCTTCTCAGCTCTGTCTGAAGGTGCCAGGATGAAGTGTGCTGCTTGGAATAAGAAGCCTGCTTATAGGCCATTTTAGTCTTGGTGAGCCCCTCAACTGTGCTGATCATTCCATTCAGTGCCAATCAGCCATTTTTTTTTCTGACTGAGTTCCAGGCCTCTAATCCAAAATATATGAATTGCTGGAAAGCCCTTGTTTTCTGTTCTGCATCAGCCTGTCTCTCCCATTTATAGTCCTTCATCCTTCCCTTCCTTCCATGAGCTATTTTATAAAAGAAGTTTAACATTTATTAAATATACGTAGACACTTTTCCTGAATCTAATCTTTGTTCACAACCATTCCTGGCTAAGCATTATCACTATTTTTACACTTCAAGTCCAGAAAGTTGAAGTTACAGACTCAAGTTTCCCTATTAAAATGGGGTCTGAGCCTCTGGCTGTGTGTTATGTTGTCCTCAGGTTCTTTTCTTCTGTCTCTTTCAGGAGACACTGAATCGAGTTGCCAAATCTGGGCTCCCAGCACTGCTCCTGCAGTGCTTTTATCTCTTCTTTGTCTTCCCTCAAGAAAAGGAGGAGCTTCCAGAAAGCAACTCTCAGATTCAGAGAATGTTTGTGCAGGTGAGTGACAGGAGGGGCCCTGCCTCTCTGCGAAGCCCTTGCTGACTCCTGAATGGTACTCAGAGATACTTTCCTTTTCTAGGCTGCCCTGGCTGCCCAGAAACCACTGTTCACCCTCCATCTCCCTCTCTGAGGCACCTCTCCAACCTGCATTTCAAGACTCCTCTATTCTACTGGAGTTCTTTCACCTCTCCTCTGCTTTCCCTACATTTGTAAATAATGGGACCCTTTCTTGTCTCTTCCTTTCATTCTGTCACTGGGCCTCTCTTTTGTTCTCTCCTTGAAATATGTGTGTCTCTTCCTTTCAAAAGCCACTTCCTCTGCTTGGCTGTCTTACTTCATCTACCCTATCCAGTTGCTTCTCCTCAGGACCATATTCCTGGTTCCTGTGTGTTTCCCCCAGTCACTCTTATTTTTGACCCCTTCCCTTGGATCCTGAGCATATGAAAGTGTCATTTGTGAAACAAACAAACAAACAACAAAACACAAAACAAAACAAAAACAAAAAACACAACCAAATAAACAACAACCACAACCAAAAAACCCAATATTTTCTAAGTACCTTCTGCATAAACAACTTCGGCCCAGGGCACTGTGTCTCTTCTACCTTCTTCAACTCTTCCTGAACCCAGGATGTGTGTATTATGGTCATCTTGATTCTATAAATGGAGATGTTCAGATATGAGTGTGGTCAGGGCCACAGAGAGGGGAGGTAGGAGATCAGTGACAGACCCTGGAGGAATCCAGCTCCAAGTTAATTTACCTGATAATGTCATCCCCCACCTTCTTTAAAAGACCACTGAGTATCAGGACTCGCTTACTCTTGTCATTGACATCTTTCTTTGCCTATTCAAGCAACCAGGAATCATGTTTTTATCTTTATAAAACCAGGACTTTTTATTTTGTTTCCTTTTTAACTCTTTAAAATTTTTCATTCATTCTTTGTTGTACATTTTTCTCCCTCCCCTTTCCTTCTCCCTCTCCTAGTTCACTTTCTTTATTTAAAAAAATATTTTATATTGATTTCGTATATACAATTTGTTGTATTATGTTTCACACTATCCTTCATTCATTCTGTGTTTCATGCAAACATTCCCATACATTGTGTTTTATAAAATGAATCACCATTGGGAGAGAGAGAAATAGAGAGGGAATTTGGGAGAGAGCACTGCCTTCAAATGAATGACTTTGAACATAAATTCTCACCTCCTTTTCCTGCTTCCTGGCTAGTCAATTTCTGCTTTCTTATCTGAGCTGCTGCATTCCCTTAGGTGTCACCTTTCCTCTGATCTTGACATGAACATAGGGCAAGGATCTCTCCTGTAGGGCCAGGGCTAAGACAGTGTCTGCTGTGCTGATTTGTTCACCTTACATTCATTTTAGACTAATTATTGAGCTGAAATTATCATCACCAGGATATGTCATAGACAGCAGTTATAGTTTACCATGTATCTTAGTTTCCTAGTATCTTGTGATAGATACTGTGACTGATACTTGTGACTGTAGGCAGCTGGCATTAAACAATATAAATTTATTTTCTCACATATCTGGAGGCTTTAGTCCAAATCATCAGAGTCTTAGCTTTGCTCTTCTTACAAGTAGCCCCAGGCATACCTTGGCTGTGTGCTTTGTAGATCGTCCTCATGTGGCATCTGTCTTTCCCTATATGTACATGCATGTTTCTGCATCTGTGCTGCTCTTTATGTAGCCCAGAAGTAATTAATTGTAATTTAAATTAATTGATAGGATAATTGATTGCATAACATTGGATTGCATTGTGGAAGATAATTACATTACATTGCCTTATATTATGAAAAATAACTATGTTAGATTAGACTCAATCCACAGAAGTAGGGATTGGGATTCTAGTATCTATTTTGTTGTTGTTAGGTACTATTGGGTCAAGTATGACTCATTGTGAGCCTATGTACAGATATGAACTCAGTCCTATCTTGTGCCATCCTCACAATCTTTGACACACTCAAGCCCATTGCTGCAGTTACGGTGTCAATTCACCTGGTGGAGGATCTTACTCTCCTTCTCTATCCCTCCACATTTCCAAGAATTATGGCCCATTTTAAGGAACAATCTCTCCTAGCAACATATCCCAAGTATGTGAGATGAAGCTTTGTCATCTTTGACTCCAAATAGTAATCTTGCTTTACTTTCTCCAAGACATACTTGTTTATTCTTTTGACAGAAAAGAATATTCAGTATTCTTTTCCAACACCACAATTAAAAGACATTAATTCCTTTTCTGTCATCCTTATTCACTAGCCAGTTCTCAGATGTGTAGCAAGTGACTGAAAATCAGACCATAACTTGATCAGGTATATTTTTGTCCTCAAACTGGCATAATTGCTTTTCAATAATTTGGAGGGTTTCCTGATTACAGACTTTCCCAGTGCAATATGTCTTCTGATCTCCTGACTGCTGTACCAAGTAAAATGAAGTTGTTGGCAGCTTCAATCTTTTTTCCATCTATTATGATGTTGTTATCAGTCCAGTGACAATGATTTCTTGTGTTATTGATTTTGAGATGCAATTCATATTGAAGGCCATAGCATTTAACCTTCTGCAGCAAGTGCTTCAAATCCTCCCACTTTCAACAAGCAAGGTTGTGTCATCTTCATAACAAAAGTTATTGATGAATCTTCCTCAAATCTTGATGCCACAAGGTTCGAATCCACCAGCTGTTCTATGGGAGGAGGATGAGCAATCTCCTCCCATGTGATTAACAGCCTCTGAAGACGCACTGGAGAGTAAGCTATGAATTGGCTCTAACACAACAATTTTACAAGACATAAGAAGATTATCCCATAGGGTTTCCACAGATGTACTAACTTTGCTGTTGTTATTGTTATTATGTGCTATTGAATCACCTGTAACTCATAGAGACCCTATGTACAATAGCTCTGAGTCCTCCCCTATGTTGAGCCAATCTCACTGTCTCTGACACATCTGCTCCCATTATCCCATCTCAACCTCTCTGATTTAGCTAGGGTCTTCCTCTCCTCCTCTGTCCCTCCACCTTTCTGAGCATGTTGTCCTTCTCTAAGGACTGAAGCCTCCTTGCAACGTAGCCAAATTATGTGAGACAGAGTTTAAAAATCATTGCCTCCAAGGAGCAGCTTGGTTTTACCCCTCCAGGATAAACCTGTTCATTCTCTTGGCAGTCCATTGTATGCTCAATACTCTTCTCTAGCACCACAACTCCAAGATATCAATTCTTCTTCTATGATCCCAGTCATTGTCCAGCTCACTGCTGCATAGCAAATAATTGTAAAGACAATGGCTTTGATGAAGCTCACTGCAGTCTCTAGACTGACATCATTGTTCTTCAGCACTCTGTAGAGGTCCCTGACAGCAATTTTCCTAGTGCAATTTTTCTTTTGATTTCCTGACTGCCAGTGCCAAGATTGTTGATTGTGGACCTGAACAAGATGAAATTGTTAACAATCTCAATCTGTTCTCCATCTATCATGGTGCTGCCAACTGGCCAAGTAGTGAGAATCTTTCTTTTCTTGATATTGAGCTTCAACCCATGTTGAAGACTGCAGTTCTTGTCCTTCTCCATGCTTCAGATCCTCTTCAGTTTTGTACTTATATTGTTGTTGTTGTTATGTGCTGTTGAGTCGCTTGTGTACTCACATTGTTGTTGTTGTTGTTATGTGCCGTCAAGTTGCCTGCGACTCATAGCGACCCTATGTACAACAGCCCTAAACTCCACTCTGTCCTGTGCCAATCACACTGTCTCCGACACTCCCATCCCAATTATCCCAGTCACTGAATCAATCCACCTCATAGAGGGCCTTCCCCTCCTGCGCCGTCCCTCCAT